GGGGGGGGGGGGAGGGGGATAGAGGCTCCAGGGACCAGTCTAAGAGCAAGCCGAGATTGCGGTTCGGTTGAGTAAAACCTCTTCTTTTTTTTTTCTAGCTCCCTAGACAAAACAAGCACTTAACCCTTGAAATGCGGACATAGCTGCACTGCAAGGGTTAAAGGAGAACTGTAGGGTAACCTTTTTTCCCCCCTATAGTTCTCTTTAGGGTCACAAGGGGACTTCCACCCCCCCCATGACCTAGCAATATGCCGCAGCCGGGACTGACCCCGACAATACTGTCGAATCTACCCTGCAGGCTGATTGACAGCAGGCTCTGCCTATCTAGAGGCAGAGTCAGGTATGCCCACCCCCATCCATCCCTCCAGTCAGGAGGGGGGGAATCCCTGCGGGGAGCGGTCACTGACAGTCACTGTTCTCTGCAGGGAGATGATCGGGAAGTGAGCGAGCGACGGTATGTGTTCACTCACCAGTCAAGAGAGGAGGAGTTGTGTCTGAAGCACCATGGAAAAGGGCATAAGGGGGACACTTGTGTCAGTTTCAGTGGGTAATGTTAAAAACTGCAGCTGACGACACCCAGAATGAATATGGACAGAAGACATAACCAGTGTGAAACATAAAATACAGAGCTATGCCAGCCTATAGAGAGTCACATGATTCTACAACCATCAGCAATAAACAGGGACATTATCGGGTCTGCTCATCTTCCTACAGCTCTGCTCCAGTTTACATGAATAATTTATGCTGCAAGCTTGCAGCTGTACAGTGCCAAGAAATACAATATATGAAAAGCAACAAATCACAGGCTGCAAAAGGGATGAATTCAGTGACTGAATATCTAAAGCTCTGAACCTTTACACCTATTTAGAGTAAAGGATGTTGACTCTTTATTCATGCACCCAGAACATTTAAAGTGGACCCGTGCTTTGCCCATTCAGAGCACATCAACAGAGTCACTTTAAAGTGTATGTCTTGCCAAACTTTGATTTTGGATAGAGTGGGGAAGGGTTAGAACTATGGATGCACCGTTACTAGTATTGGTGCCGATACCGAGTATTTGGGTGAGTACTCGTATTCGCCCAAATGCTCCGATACCTTCCCCGATACCGGAACTTCCGATCAGAGGAAGATTTCCTCTGACCGGCAGTACTGTAGGGGAACATGAGCTGGCTTCCCGGGCAATCTGGAAAGCTGGGTGGCGAGTAATGACCTGTCTCCAAAGATCTGAGTGGCCGGGAAGCCGGCTCCTTGATGATTAGCTGGGAAGCCAGTTTCCTGGCCAAGCAACATGGAGCCAGCTTCCCAGCTAATCCTAATTGCCTGTGAAGCCGGTTCCATGCTAGCGGAAGTTTCCTGATTGGCCAGGAAGCGGCTCCATGCTCTCTCGTCACTTGTGGTGATAGAGCATAGAGCCGACTTCCCGGGCCAATCAGGAAGCCGGGCAGCGTTTAATGACTCGCTGCCCGGCTTCCTGATTGGTCGGGAAGCTGGCCAATCAGGAAGCCGGGCGCCGTGTAATGAGGCAGCACCCGGCATTCTGATTGGCCGGGAAGCTGGCTTCATGCTCCCTCGTCATCTCATGACGAGGGAGCATAGAGCCGGCCAATTGGAAAGCAGGGCGTTGCGTCATTACACGGCGCCCGGCTTCCTGATTGGACGGCTCCGGCTGGGTACAGGAGGAAGGCCGCTTTCTGGCTGGAGAGGCCCCGGGGGTGACAGGCTGGACATACCAAGGTAAGAGGTACTTTCTTGTTTATCGGCAAGCTGGGTGGCGAGTCTTTACACGCTGCCCGGCTAATCTGGAAGCCAGGAGGCGAGTCATTACACGCCACCTAGCTTCCTAAATAAGACTTCCGTTACTCGGTAATTGGTATCGGCGAGTACCGAAAAAAATTATCGGTACTAGGTACCAAAATACAGGTATCGGTGCATCCCTATTATATAGATGTTTATATGATCAAGGTACTCTTTACCAGAACCTGTTAGATGGAAATAATAGGCACTGCCAATTGAGGAGTTCTTGAAGGTGCCGGTTCCCTGGTCATCACTGTCTTGTTGCTTATCAATGCTTTTTTTTCTGTCCTCACAAGTTTCATTGAAGGGCTCCTATGCCTTTATTTCAAATGTCGTCATTTTATGCTTATGTTCAGCTCCCAGGTCTATTGAATGCAGGAGTTATTATGTAGTAAGTAGTCAATATTTTGTATCCATTCTGCATAGTATGTAGTCAATGTTGGGTATCAGTTATGCAGCTAATAGAGCTAATGTCATGCTGTTATTTCCTCATCTTACCATTTAAAGGGATTCTGCTACTATTAGGAAAAAAAACAACTAAAAACATGGCCAGCCTGCAAAGAAAAGAATACGTTTCTGTTCTACCACCTATGCCGCCAAACTCATCTGTCTTTTAAAGACAATTGTGCTGAAAAATCTTCTGCTTCCGACATTTCCAGGAACGTCAGATGCTGTTGTCCCTTGCTGTCCTTTGTGGTTTCATCCTCTGACCCCTATGTCACTACAGGACACGGGTGTGATAAAAGGAACCACACAGCACAGCAAGGTATCAGGCATCCGACATACCTGCAAGTGTGCTCAGTGCTGAAGAACCTCCAGCAAACTTATTTAAAGCAACAGAATTGGGTGGCATGAAAAGGTAACCATTTTTGCTTTTCTTTGCTGACCTTTCAGGCTGACCTTGTTTTTAGTCAGGAGTCGCCCTTTTTAAAGCTGATGGGTAGTATCTGTGTTACTGATGACATGTGACAACTGTGGTGATTACTCACAGATGTGCTCAAGTCGTTCTCCATATTCCAACCAGAAGGCAGCGTATGGCGGCCCAGAGCCTTCGTCGTTCCCAATGCCCGCACACAGCGAGAACGCCGCATGCCCCACCTCCCGAGCCTGTCCGCCTCTTTCTGGATCCTACCGCACGCAACGCACAGCCAGCGAGGACATGACCAGTGACGAGGAGAGGATGGTCATCTGTGAGGAGGAAGGAGATGATGACGTTATTGGTGAGTGGCCAGTGACACTGACCACAGCTTGTGACAATATTCATCATTTTCTTGCATTCCCCTTGATCTCTGTTTTTCTCTCCGGCAGATGATGGCTATGGCTGTGCAGATATCGACTTGAAATGTAAGGAACGGGTGACGGATAGTGACAGCGAAGGAGCATCTGGAGATGAAGCAGAAGGCAAGGTATGTTGCACACATGTAGTCCCAAAAGTCTCCCCTTTGGTTACGCCTGGCCGCATAACCCGAAGATCCAGGAACACACAAACAAGATCCTACATTTTTCCCAACACCACCCATCGGTGATTTGGTAGCCTAATTATACACATCCCTGGCCATGCAGAAATAAGTCTTGGCCTTCTACAAGCCTAAAGGCAGTATGTACAAAGAAATGTACATCAGAAGGGCAGCCAGATGCTGCAATCCAATATCTGAATGGTTATTAGGGGTCATAATAGTGGTTGAAATCTCAAATTTAACCCCTTCATGACTGAGGCCCTTTTTTCAATTTTTGCACCCATGTTATACTCCACATTTTAGGCCTGAAAATGATGTAAAACCCCCCAACATTATATATTTTCTGAATGCCAAGACCCTATAGAATAAAATGGTGGTAGTTGAAAATTTTTATGTTGCACAATGTGACAGAAGTAGGCAGTCATTGTCAACCTCCTGAAAAAATGCTAGCTGCCTGGCTTTCTCTGGTTTTAGTGCTTTAAGTCACATCCCCAGAACAAGCATGCAGCTAGTGAAGTCAGAACTCCAGGTTTGCACGTGTTTACTATAATTGACTCAAAATTTTGAAATGAAAGGATTAGCATTGCATCCTATAGAGTTGTTTCAGTTCAGGGTTCCTTTTATAGCAGGGGTAGCCAAACTCCGGCCCTCCAGCTGTGGTGAAACTACAAATCCCATGATGCATATCTCTCCTCGAGTCATGTCTGGCTGTGAGAATCTTGCAATGCCTCATGGGATTTGTAGTTCCACCACAGCTGGAGGGCTGCGGTTTGGCTACCCCTGCTTTATAGCAAGCCTGTGCTTTGTAAATGTATGGCAAAGAAACCGATTTGCTTTGATTCTCTCCCTCCTATCAGCACATACTCTCCTTTCCTTTGCTCCGTTCAGTTTCAGGGTCAAAGATAATACCTGATGCTTCCATGTATAGATTATCAGTCGGCTCACTCCACCTGACAGCACAGCCCCTTGGCCTGTGTAAGCTGCGCCTTTAGCTGAGGCGGCTTCTCCTCTCTGGAGTGGCCAATGAGTAAAGAAAAGATGAGAATGTGCTGGAAAGGACAGCGGGTTAAAATGAATCTATTGCTTTGTACTGTGGTCAATGCACAGGTTCACTTTACGTATGGAATAGGGGTAACATACACTCACCGGACACTTTATTAGGTACACCTTGCTAGTACCGGGTTGTAACCCCTTTTTGCCCTCAGAACTGCCTTCAGTCTTCTTGGCATAGATTCAACAAGGTGATGGAAACATTCTTCAGAGATTTTGGTCCATATTGACATGATAGCATCACGGGCCCAAAGTGTGCCAAGAAAATCTCCCCCACACCATTACACCACCAGCAGCCTGAGCCGTTGATACAAGGCAGGATGGATTCACGCTTTCATGTTGTTTACGCCAAATTCTGACCCGACCATCTGAATGCCGCAGCTGAAATAGAGACTCATCAGACCAGCAATGTTTTTCCAATCTTCGATTGTCCAATTTTGGTGAGCCTGTGTGAATTGTAGCCTCCGTTTCCTGTTAGCGGACAGGAGTGGCACCCGGTGTGGTCTTCTGATGCTGTAGCCCATCTGATTCAAGGTTGGACGTGTTGTGCGTTCAGAGATGGTATTCTGCATACCTCGGATGTAACGAGTGGTTATTTGAGTTACTGTTGACTTTCTATCATCTCGAACCAGTCTGCCCATTAATTGACATCAACAAGGCATTCTCGTCCACACAACTGCCACTCTCTGGATATTTTCTCTTTTTCTGACCATTCTCTGTAAACCCCGAGAGATGGTTGTGTATGATTACCCCAGTAGGTCAATACTCAGACCAGCCCGTCTGGAAACAACAACCATGCCACGTTCAAAGTCACTTAAATCCCCTTTCCTTCCCATTCTGATGCTCGGTTTGAACTTCAGCAAGTCGTCTTCACCACGTCTAGATGCCTAAGTGCACTGAGTTGCTGCCATGTGATTGGCTGATTTAGCAATTTGTGTTACCAAGCAATTGAACAGGTGTACCAAATAAAGTGGCCGGTGAGTGTATATCCGATAGCATTAGCAGTTCACTGAGTCTTGTCCTAATTGCCCGGACTTGCTGTGTAAAAAGTAACATTTGTGATGCAGCCCTCTGTCCCTATGGGTTGTTGGAAACTTGTCTTCACCCTGATGCTTTAATTTTTACCCTGGCTTTCAGTTCCGATTGCTAGAGGAATACTTACACTATTATAGAATCTCTTCCAAAAATCTTTTGCTTTCTCTTTAGGTGGCCCCACAAGGGGTCTTTTCCCCGGTCATCCGTTCCTCCTCGCACTCTGGAAGTTTTCCACTTTCCTCTGAGGACTTTAAATCAGATAGACCTGTGAATGTGGCTCAGTCGCCCAAGCCTAATGACCATCCACAAGCCGCCTTCCCCCGTGGGTACACTCCACTGCCCCCTGCCAAGCCTCCTCCTCGTACTCCTACCCATCATCAAGCTAAGAGACCTTCAGAAGTGCGTTTCACTATGGTGGACCCTGCCACCAGCTTCAAGAGGAAACGCAGTGTGGATGGCGCAGGGCAAAAGATGGCGGGGGATAGCATGCCTTCTGTGAATCAGTATTGTGTTCCTTCAGTCATCTCATCCACTACAGCCCAAACCCTTGTTCTGCCCAGTCTGCCCTCACCACACCTCTCCAGCACAATATATTCCCCATCACTCAAACCCTACGATGGGCAGAGAGGAACCACTGACAGTCGGCCTTATGTCCCTGCAGTAGGAACTGTACTTGTTTCGGGGCCACAAGGATTTGGAGTTTTACCTTCTGGCTTTAGGCAAGCTTCAACTGTGGTTACGAATGTAGTAAAACCAGTTAGCAGCACACCAATTCCTATTGCAAGTAAACCATTACCCGTTACCAGGAGCAGCAGTAGCAGTGAACTTTATGACGGTCGTGTACCCGGTTCCCCGGTTGGCATCGGGGTTGTGTACGCCCACGACAGGAAGCCGGTTCAACAGCTGACATCTCCAGCTTCTCCCCACCCGCAGGGAAAACCCGCCGGAGGGCTCGTAACCAATTTGCTGGTGGGGGCACCTAGCTATGGACAGCCGGCGCCCACTTCTGGAAACGGAGCAGGTCCCGTTACCGCACTGCAGTTCATTACTCAGAATCCTACAGGCAGCGCCAACGGAGCAGTACCTCTGGGCATACTTCAGCCGCAGCAGCTGCTTCCTGCTACAAGCAAACGGGGCAATATAACCCAAGTGCAGTACATCTTGCCCACCATTCCACAACAGCTGCCAGGAGGCATCCACTTCACCCTTCCTTCTGCAAATGCTAAAGTGATCGCCGCCCCTCAAGCTGTTCCAATTGTCCAGCCAGGCCCTGCTGCCAGCCCATCATTGGGCATTGTGTCAGCAGCTGCCAGAGGTAAGACGCTTTATAAACTCTACTTCTTCTTTGTCTTCTTCTCCTTTTGCCTCATTCACTCTTCACTTTTTCCATCTTCTGCTTGTTTCCTCCTTCTTCCCTTCTTATTCCTCTTTATTTTCTTCTTTATCGTTCTCTTTTTTTTTCTTCTGCATTCACTGATATTTTTCATCATTTTCTCCTCCTCTAATAGCCCAGTCGGTGTCTCCTGCCCCTTCTCCTGGGAGCTGCACCCAGCTCCTTTCTGGTCAAGGAATCCTGTCTCCAGGTACTCCGGTTCAGGGCAAGATGCTTGTTCCAGTGACCGCACCGCACCACGTGACTGTGCGGGCAGGCTCTACTACCACACAGCTGCCCCTTATGACGTCCCCCTTCCCTGTTCAAAATGGCGCACAGCCTGCGAACAAGGTGAGTGTTTGGCTTTGTGCTTGTAATATGAATATATATATAATATCTCTCGCTTCCAGGAGTCTTTCTTTTCTCTTGTTATAAAGATAATCACCAGCACCCAAAGGATAAGATAAATCCAAGTGTTCTTTTTATTGAAAGAAGCATGTCACGTGCCTAGTGTAGCCAACGTTTCGGAACCACGCAGGGTCCCTTCATCAGGGCAAAGATATTGACCCTGATCCCATAGTCACTATGTTTGCCCTGATGAAGGGACCCTGCGTGGTTCCGAAACGTTGGCTACACTAGCCACGTGACATGCTTCTTTAAATAAAAAGAACACTTGGATTTTTCTTATCCTTTGAGTGCTGATGATCATCTTTATAACCTTGGATACGCACGGCGCCATCCGTGGAAGTCACTACGAGCACCATCACTATTCGAAACGGTCTTCATTGCCGTATGCTGTGCAGGGGATATTTTTGTTCACCAATTTTTGCTTTTTCTCTTGTTTTTACCCCAATCATTATAGATTTTAATATTGGTGGGAGTCAATTGTAAGATGAACTGGGAAAATATTTTTAGAGAAGGCCTTTAAAGCTGAAAAACACTTGCAGTACAGGGGAAGCTAGACGGGAATGTATGTTTAGTCTAGCTGTAATATTTACCTTAAGGTGGCCATACATTTTACGATTTTCGTTTTGAAATTTTTCGTTTCTGGCTCGACCCCCTCGTTCGATTATACCTAGACTTCCCCATCAAGCACAGTCCAATGTCAATTTCGCAAATCGTTCATTAACTATACTAACCAACCAATTTTTGACAAACAACGGAAATAGTTTCCTTTTGCACATTTGTGCTGTGTTCCTGCAGAGATTTTTGAGGAACGAAAGCCCAATTGATTTTCGTTCGGTCAGAAAAAAATCAAAAAAGAAAATCGGTGATGTACCATCAACTGTTTGATTTTGGTTCGAAAGACCGTCCATGTACGATTTCCAAACCAAAATCGCACAGTGTATGGGCACCTTAAGGCCTTGTTCACACTAAATGCAGAACAGATCTGCTCAGGTTTCTGCACACGCAGTGCAGTGGGTTGTGCCGCGTTTTTGATGCGTTTCGGGCCATTTTGAATAAAAAAATGTTTTTTTAGTTTAACATGGTCTTTCAGTGCGTTCCAGGCATTTGCATGTGTTTTTGATGCGTTTGCATGCGTTCCAGAGCAGGTAAAAAAAGGCTTGCTGCAGATTTTTCACCTGCTGGACCTGCTCTGGAACGGCACGCTGCGATGTGAACTGGAGCAAAAAATACCATTGGAATACATTGGACGCAGTTTTGATCCGGTCTGCAACTGCTCCGCGCTTGGTGTGAACAAGGCCTTATACCTCACTCTGGTAGGCTTGCACCACGCTATGCGACGGATTCCCTGAAGCCCCCTCTTTTTGGCCCTGCGGCCAGTGGTCTCAGACGCCATCTCTTACAATGCAGGACCAGCAGTCCTGCATCTTATGTGAGAATGGCAAGGGCCTTCCTCCACAACCCAGAGGTGAGTGCTGGAAGCCTGCCAGGGAGAGAAATAACTATTGCACCCACCTTATTCCTCTACCCCTAGACCTAATGGTATGTAGGGGGGTACTGCAGGAGGTTTCAACAAAAGTTCCAGAGTTCATACTTGAAGCAAACCTGTGTTTTTAAATCAAGACAAAGCAACAGGTTTGCCATAATCCTCCATCCCTCCCCAGCATAGTTCTCCCAATGGATTCAGTGCCAGGAGCCACAGGAATTATCCGGTACATCCAGGAATGTAATAGCATTAGAGTAACTCCATGTAACAACACTAGGTCAGTCAGCACGGTCACACAGGGAGTTCACTGCCCTATGTATACTATAACTTTTGCAAGTTGTAACTTGCAGCTGGATCTTACTTGGCTCCCACCGGCTGATCAGACCGGCAGGGGGGGGCAAAAGGAACGCAAGTATATGCTGCTAGTAAAGGCTTAGCTAAGTGAACCAGTAGCTTTTTTTCCCCTGTATGGGCCAAGCACAGGTCTAAGCTTACTATAGTCATTAAGCTTACAAGTTAAGCTTACTATAGTCATTACAGTGTAATTGTACAGTAGATTAGGTCTTCCAGCTATGTAGTGCCAGGACTTTTTAAGGTGGGCCCTCGCACTAAAGTTTAGTAAAGCAAAAGGATTTATACAGATATTGTATAATCTGTTTGCAACCTGTATGGCCATCTTAAGTGTGATCTTCAAGTATGCCTGCCATGAGGGTAGGCTTATGTATTTGTTGTTGTTCCATTTACGATCGTCTTATCGCTTTGTCCTTCTCAGATTATACAGATCACTCCAATGCCCATGGTGCAACCGCAGGCTCAAAAGCAGAGTGCCTTAGTGCCCCCGGGCAGTGCAACACTCCAGAGTGCTCTCCCTGTCACCATGACGACCGCAGCGGTTGTGGCAGCAGCGTCTCAGCCACAGAAAGTCATTCTGCCATCATCTACAAGGTAATTTTAAAGGAAACCGCAGTATGTTTTTTTGTTTGCCGAGTCTCATTTTTGGGTTATGATTGCAGTATTGAGTTGACAGTACACGCATACACATGCAGAATCACATGCATGCACGCAATAGGTTGAACTTGATGGACCTGTGTCTTTTATGTAACTGTGTAATTTGTAATGCAAGGGTTACATTTTAAATGCTATGACATAGTTTTGTCATTTGTAAACCCAGTCCCTAAAATCCCATTAAGGGCTCATTCAGACAGGCATACTCATCTGTATGGTGCGCACGCCCGTAAAAAGACCGGATTCCGGAAGGGAAAGGTGCTGCGTGTATTTGCTTGTAGCAACCTGTTCTTCCCTATGGGAGGACACGTCTGCCTGCAATTACACACTGCCACACGCACACCTGAACCTGCACGTTTGTGCGGGTCCGCATTTGGACGCACACCATCTGCGGACACCCAGACCCATAGGGAAGAACAGGCTTCTGCACGCAAATACACGCAGCACCTTTCCCTTCCGGGATCGGGTCTTTTTACGGGCGTTTACGCTCGCCTGAATGTACCCACAAAGTATATTTTATGTTAAGAGACCCTGTCCCAAAAATAAAAAAAATTGCAGGCAAAAGCACTGGACGATCAAGCATTTTAAATGCATTACTTGCCACTGGACATCTTGGTCTATTAATGGAAGTGGGAAAAATAACAGATCTGGCCTGGTCATCAGATGATATAACTGTTACAGGTCCTACTACTACAAAAACTGCAATGCTAATGCTATCCACAGGCTTCATTATACACTATATATAACTTTTCATTTTGCCCATAATTCCACTTTTTTTATTTTATTTATTAACAGACCCTAATAGGAATGTTTGTATACAGCAATATCTAATCTGTATTGTATTCTCCGGACAGGATCACATATGTGCCCTCAGGAGCAGGCAGCGCACTTCCCCTGGTGACCACCAGCTCACACTCCCAGACTGTAACAGCGGGCACTGCCCCTTGTGTCCAGCCTTCACTAGGGACTGGGTCCATGGCACTTGGCTTCACCACCATAAGTCCAAATGGTCAGACCATAGTCCAACCACTACTAGCAGGTAAGAGATACTGACATTGGAACTGCTGTCGGGGAAGGTGCAGTATTTGTTTTTAGGCTTGTTAATGTGTACAGTACCCACAAAATCAGCAGTAACAAGAACCACAGGCGGTGTAGTGCGCCCCCAAAAAGTACACTGGGGGAATTTGTCAAAACTGGAGCAGACAAAATCTGGAGCAACCAATCGGCTTCTCTCTTCAGTTTGCTCAGGTAAGATTTGAGAATGAGGCAGAGAAGCTGCAAATCTGCTCCAGTTTTTATAAATTCACCCCAATGTCTTGGGGGAAATTGGTCATTTCAATGGCTAAATTAAATCTGAAACCGTCAGAAAGCATCACTCCTGCTAAATGCTCTTGAAATCATTAATTCTTTTTACGAGCATCTTGCAAAGTATCTGCTTCAGATTATGAAAAGCTGTAAAGTGGCCTTTAAATAAAATTACACTTGCAGTGAGACCCTCCCACACTGCAATTGTTTTTAATGCTAGTTAAGAGTTGTAGTAGAGGAATAAGGTGCGATACTTGCCTTATTTCCCACTCTGACAGGCTTCCTCCGTGCTGTGCATCCAGTCCCCCCAAAGCATCTTCTCTTAGACGCTCTGCTCGTTGCTCGTACCGTGACAATCATTAAGTACAATGCAGGACCGATATTCCTGCATTGCATGTAAAGATGCTGAGGCCCTCCCAAAACCAGGAGTGTGAGACCCCGTTCACATTGAGCGATTTATCGCGCGGTAATTCCCGCGATATCGCGGCAAATTACCGCGCGATATCGCGCTCCAATGCACTCCAATGGGGCAAAGGGTCCTGCTGTCGCGGGTCGTGTGTCGCTACAGCAGGACCCTTTTTGGAACGGATTTAGCCGCGATTCAAGCTTGCTCAATGCAAGCTTGAACGCGACATCGCGCGGCAAATCTCGCGATGTCGCGCAATATGCAAATCGCGTGACAAACGCGCGATTTGCATATCGCGCAGTGGGAACGGGGCCTCAGAGTGCGGAACAAAATGAGTACAGCCGATTCCATTCCCCCTAAACATAATGAGTATTTACCCTTGCAGCGTTCGGGGCCCCACTGCAAGAAAGGCTATGTTTTTTTTTTTTTGTTCAGCCTGTATTGTGACCTGTAGGGACCTGGGACCTGTATTGTGTAGGATGGTGTGATGCATTGCAGTGCTTACTTTTCTTCTTTCTTTTTTTTTTTTTTAAAGTTAACAAAAACCAATTCATTCAACTTTATGCGCCACAGTTCATTGCGACACGTTGCGGTGACATGTGTTGGGCTGCTTAACAATGTGGACATGCTGCATTTTTATGCAGCGCACATGTATAGTGTAAACAGAGCACATAGAGTGGATATATTTCTATGTATACCTGTGTACAGCCTTTGTTGATCAATGCTTGTGTTAGCGAGCCCTCGCCCCCCTCCCCAGCAGCACCTTTTTTTCCCTGCTGCTCCGTTCTGTACTGGGAGTAAAGAAAAACAATCCTGTGTAAGCTTTGGGTTGCTTCAAGTTTGAGCTTACCCAGGACTGTGGACTCTGTCAGTCCATAGCCTTTGACTGGCCCAAATCAGTGACTGCTTTGGGTCAGTCATTCCCCAATACCCAAAAGTGAGAATTATATTAAAATCTAGTTTAACGTTGACTTGTGTGTGTCTTGTTCTTTAATAATTATTTTTCATTTTCTTTTTTGTGATATTTTTGTTGGTCTTTTTATTACAGGGCAGAGCCACATCCTTGCCCCCGGGCAGGTCACCGTGTCGCCAGCTTCTACACCTCCTGTACCTGCCACCTGCTGCAGCCAAGTCTTAACTGCGATATACCCAACAGTCGGGTCTAGTACACTGACTATGGCGGCTGGTTCTCCAGCTCAGAATTTAGTGTACAGCGTGGCCAGTACAGGTACCGTGTCTGCTGCACCAACCACCATCTTGACCAAAGCCATCAGCACCCCTCTGACAATCAGCGCCCCGCCTGCGTCATCTACAGTGGGCTGTACATCACACGTCACCAGTGTCACTGGTACGCTTTTTAAAAATAATAATATGGTTTTTAGTACCTGTGTAAGCTTTATCGGCATCTAACTGTGTGATAAGAATTCAGAATGCAGCTTCCAGTGTTTTTTTTTAATCTGAACTCCAGGTAGATATAAAAGGTGCCGGTGAATGCATCATTAAAGGTATTTGTTGTACCTGAATTTGCCTTGGTATCTGTCTCTTTCAATCCTATATTTCTGAAGAGCTCAGGCGGAAGAGGGAGAATTAGCTCAAAGCGTTTATCAATTGTGCTGCAGTGCTCAAGAAGAAGCATGGTGATAGGATAGGAAAGAGCGGAAAGATGATCTCATCGATCTGCCGCTGCTTGCTCACTGTCCAGTCACAGGCTGGGTGATGGTGTATGAGTTACATGGGGTTTTCTTTGTTACAGCTAACATTATTAAAGCTGAAATATAATCTGCTTATATCATGCCTTCTCTGGTTCCTCCTGCCTCATCAACATTCGGAGGACATTTTTAAACACAACCTTTCCATTTTGCATTACATACAGTATTTTAGACCCAAAGATGTCATCACGGGGTCTCTGTGCTTCCCTACACAGTGCAGGCAGATCATGGCTGGTGGGAGGGGCCGGCAGGGTGCTCTGCATAGCTTCCGGATAACATCAAAGGCTCCCTGTCTTTAGCTGGCCATACACCTATAGATTATCTGCAGGTTTTCTATGGTCAGATGGAAAAAGTGCAACAGATTCCTCCATCTACGCTAAACTCCCACTGGCCCAAGCTTCAGTATGTTGTTAGTGGGCCCCGCTGGCTCTCAAAATACCAGAACAATGCCTGCATCCAATCGGATTGTTCAGGTATTTTGAGAGCCAGCAGGGCCGACTAGCAAGATACTGGAGCTTGGCCCAGCGGGAGATTACTCCATCCACACAGTTTAGCGCAGATGGAGGAGGAATCTGTTCCACTTTTTCCATCTGACCATAGAAAACCTGCAGATAATCTAAAGGTGTATGGCCGGCTCTAGTACTCCTCAAGAGCCCTCATCCCTGATGCAAGCAGTGGGCTGGCTCTTGGGAGGAGTTATGCAAATATCAAAATGCCTTGATGGGTGGATGACGGCCTGGAGGAGCGGGTGTTCCTAGGCAGGCTGTATTTGCATGCAGACTGCCCACATGTGAGCTTTCATGATTGATGGAACTGAAATCTAGTGAATGAAAGTGGCAAACCAGGGGCAGTCAGACAGGGGAGGAAAGAGCTAGATAATGCTAGATGTCCTCCAGCCAGGAAATGCGGACTTCTGCAGCTTCTAATTTACACTGAGAAGTTCATTGTGTGCAGCGAGATCAGGGCAAGTGATTTCAGGAGAGGAGGCGGTAAGATAGGAGTTCAGCTTTAATCAAACAGAATTCCACCCCATTTCCTGGCTATGATATACCTGAGGTGGTCTGAATCTGGAAAAAACCTCCCTTAATTCCACAGGCACCCCCCAGCCCCCCTGTTTTATTCTTTGTACCATCTGGTAGAATGAGGTAGTGAAGCTGGTGGCACAGACAGGTCATCACTTCCACCCTGAGAAGTGAAGGGGTGGAATGTGCAAAGTGGTGAATTCAGTTGCTTGTTGTTTCCTTTGTTTTGCATCGTTTAGTAGAACTTGTCCTCATGCAGCATTTCATGTTTTGCAGCCTCTTCCGTTACCTTCAGTTTGGTGACCCCCAAACCTCAGAGGAACCTTTCAAAGCCTCCTCAGAAAGTGAAGGCAACCATCGCCAGTATCCCCGTGGGGTCATACGAGGCAACATCGCCCTCACCATGTGCGCGGAATTCTTCCCGCTCTGCGCCGCTGCCACCTTGTGAAGAGACGCCTGAACCAAAGTAAGGAGGTTGCAATCTTATGTAGGGGAATGGGGCCAGTTTCATGCTCATAATCAGCCATTTTGCTAGCTCGGCTTATGTTCCCTTGATTCCAGTCCCTATGCTGCCTTATACAGTGGGTCTTGGATATACCCAACACTGAGATCTACAATCATATTTCCTGACTGTGTTCCCGTCCACTGTTCCTCCTGTTACTTCATCATAATGAATAAAGAAATTCCAGCAGGTGGGACCTCCTCAGCAGGTGTACAGACCCAGGTCCTCAGTACAGAAATCTCTCTTGGAGTCCCCAAAAGATGTAAAAATGATCAACTGGACTTCAGGAGCTCTTTCTGGTGGTCTGGTTGGCTCAAAGTAGTATTAAGGTCTGGGCATTTTTTACCTTAATGCATTCTCTGCATTAGGGTAAAAACGGCCCAGTACTTTTTTTTCGTCCCCCCTACACTTACCTGTCAGCAACACTCGTCCCTGCCGCCGGTTCTGAAGGGATCCTCCGTTCCCCAAACTTCCTGGTTGCAGGGAGAGGATGCTGATGGCAAAGGAGCCATAGGCTCCTTCTGCCATCAATCAAACTGTTGGGCGGAGAGGAGGGGCTTGGCCTGCCACAGGGCTGTGTGTGTCTATGGACAGCCACTGCGGGCACGGGTGCCTCCATTAGCCGACGGAGGTTCCCGTGAAGGGGGCAGGGGGAAGATTGCTGCGGGGACCCACTAGAAAACGAGGAATTAAACACTTTTAAAGAAAAATGGCAACAGCCTCATTTAAAGGTGTGTTTCCTTGTAGGAAATATTTTTAAAAAAAGGAGGCTTTAATATCGCTTTAATGGTCCAGGCAGCCTGCAACTCCATCTCTCTGGGTGCCCCCCAAACATCTGTGCATCTCCTGACCGAGAAGCTGTGCAGAACATTAGGGAAAGCATATGGAGGTGCAAGCCCAACTTTGGTGAAATGTACATGCTATGCTTACTGCGAATACCTCAACCCAACCTTCATCAGTGGACATGCCCTTTAAAAGGGCCTGAACCTATCTGTGCCCCAAAAAGGTGTGCAGGCGGCAAAGAACTAGCCACCAGTAACCTTCTTGATGTTTCTTATAAGAGAGCAAATCTATCCCTATGAAGTTCAGGTCCACTTAAAATGTTCCGACTCGATTAGTCCAATCGGAAGCCCACGTATATTAGGTAATGGTACAATTCTGTATATTTGTATTTTGGTGGTTCTGTTATGTCTTCAAGAGCTTTGTGTTGTTGGTTAATTTTCTGCATCTTTTTATGCTGCCTTGCCTTTTTCCGGTGGGCATTTCCTGCCCAAGACCTTTGGCAGAGCTGCACGAAGAATGACAGAAAACCAATTGTATAGCAGGTGATCCTTGCCGCTGTAGTTATGGCAAAGTTGAAAAAAAAAAAATGTTTTAGCATTTTGTAAAATTTAGCTCTGTGTTTTTAAAGAGACACTGTCACCTTCCCCAGGGGCAGGTTTATGACATCCTGGGCTCACAGGAAGTGGGGGTGGATGATGATGGGTATTATGCGGTCCAGTTTTCCCCATCTACAAAACTGAGAAGAAAAGAAAATTGTTGGCCGGAGTTGGAGTTACATTTTAAGGATGCGGCGTGTTTGACTATAAAGGTTCACTCTGTCACTTTCTTTGCATTAGGTACACAACAGAACCTCGAGGGGCATCCATAAGCCGGGACCCCGTCACCGAAACATCATCTAGTGCTTATGCTGCCGCTCCGCCTCGGGATTTGGCTCCGGGAAAGCCTAGGCTGACAGCCGCAGATGAGCGCTCGTCACGAGACATGTGGGCGAAGAACGCAACTGAGGACAAAGCGGTTGGATCCCCGTTACACAGCGGAGTTGTCGGGCTGTCTGACATCAAAAGGGAGCCGCCATCTCCCACCATCAAGAAGGAATCTGTGGTAACTAGCGACGTCAAGTGAATTCTATTTCTACACAGTGACTCAAGCTCGCCCACTCATGCCTTGGCTATATTCAGCCGAATGTATGAAAATGTCGGGTTTTGCAACAATTAGTCAGTTAACTCGTGTCAGTTTAGGAAATCCACATCCAGGATTCCTCCATGATAGGTAGTAAATATGCTTCCTTTTCTCTGAACGCTCATCGGGCATCATGGTAGACCTCTGGGGTATAAGCCCTGGCCCATGGCAGACCTCTGGATCTTAGTCTTACCATTGAAGGGCTCAAATGCGAGTTCATATATGTGTTACACTATTGTCATTTCTATTATTTTTTTCCATGTCTCATGCAGAATATTTGGCTTTTCACTGTAGAAACATTTTATACAGGAACCACACATGCACAGGGGACATATTGGTGTAGGCTAGGTAAGGTACCCCTATGGAGTTTGGGATGAAACCAAACCATTAGCAAGGGAGAACGTAGAAATGCCAGTGCTCATATCCAGATTGGAGATGCAAGGTTAGATTTTAGTGTCTGTAAATTTAGATCAAAGTGGCAACATGGCTTATGCTGTGTGCAGCTAGTGCAGTGGTTCGCAACCTGTGTAACCTCAGGACCCACATTTGTCTTTGGTCATTAGCGATCCAAAGTCGCACTGCAATGGAATGCATAGCATTGCGGTACAACAGGTTCCGGAATGGCCGATCGAACTGTGGTTGGGAGTGCTTTGTGGTGCCATTCAAATGAATGGCAAAGCAACGCACCTCCTGCATCAGAATGCACAGTAGGTGCAATTGCATGGTAGAGTGTGTTAATCACACAGGACTGTATGATTTAATGCACTGTACTGATGTGAACGGACCCTCAAAAACACTGACATACACAATCCCAAAAAAATGTGAAATGTTTTCTTTTTACATTTTTTTTTTTTAAGATCCACCCAGTCTCCCTACCTTACGAGACCTGGAGTAGATCCTCAGCCTGGGGTTCAGTGTGGGCTGCTGTACCGTGACGAAGCTCCATCTATTTGTGCATTGCTTGTACAGCTCCCTTGCACTCCCTGTAGAGGTGCCAAGAGCCAGAATGTGACGTCACTCCGGTCCAGGCACCTCTACAGGGCATGTGAGGGGGCTGTAAGCAATGCACGGATATATGGAGCTCCCTCGCAGCCATACCCCAAGCCTACCTCACCTCCAGCTGACTCTCTGCGCCGGGAACACATTTTGAATGGCTGCTCGGCAAAAGAACTGACAGTACTGCACTAGGGGGTGACTGAGGAGCCTCTCGCCTTGCGCAGTGGAAGGCACGTGGTGACACACTGAACACTGGGTTGGGACCCACTTTTGGGTTGCGACCCACCAGTTGAGAGCCACGGCCTTGAGCAAAACTGAACGGACTTTAAAAGTTCTGCACTTCTACCATGGGTGGCATGTAGTCTCCATGAGATGCCCATAGGTCCTTCATATATTTTCTAGTGTGTCCAGGATGTGACGTTTTGCCACTTTAGCTCTAAAGTTGGACCACTCGGTCTCTATACATCACCTCCTAATTGGTTCCTCAGCATGATGTATAGCTCCACAGACTAATAATGAGGTGTGGAAGGGAGGATTAGACAGTCCAGAGCTCTTCCTGCATTTTTGAGTTCCCTGGATTTTTTTGGCACTCTCTGTAGGGACTTGTGGTTAACTCTAGGTTTGTATTTAACCTCTCCTAGAAGATCATCATCAGTGGCAATTAAATCTTTGTTTCTCCTGTCTTTTTACATAGTATTCAACAGACTGGAAGGGCACAGTCCCAGAGAGCCGCTCGGATCCTACACCCGCTCCACCGCCACCATCTTCTCCTGTGGCACCACCCGCATCCAGCAGTATCGGCGGCTCTCCAGGAGAGGCCAGCAGGTCATCAGGAGGACCACTGCCTGAAGCTCCTGAAAGAAAGGACGGACCAGTGAAAAAACCCAAACTGAGACCGCCACCCTTGAAGAAGACATTTGATTCTGTTGACAAGTGAGTCCTTTCTGGCTCTTGGTGTGTAGGTGATGCTCCTTCTCTGGGTGGCAGATTCTGTGTCCTACAACTTGTCCAAGGGTCTGATCCTTCCTTGCCAATGTTACCAAGAGTCTCCAGTGCGGTCATCTTTTCCTCACGCCTTTTGGATGACCTCACACTTGTCCTAAGCTACTGACATCTCTTTCTGTTCCACCAGCAGGGTCTTGTCTGACGTGGACTTTGAAGAACGATTTGCAGAGCTCCCGGAGTTCAAGCCGGAGGAGGTGCTGCCCTCGCCCACCCTTCAATCTCTTGCCACCTCTCCTCGGGCGATTCTGGGCTCCTACCGTAAGAAGCGCAAAAATTCTACAGGTACGTGCCTATACTTAATTCAGTGAGAGCAAATCAGCCACAAACCACATTCTTTAAATGTTACCTCATCCTCTTCAAATTGGGAAAAAGGGCTTCAGGTTTTCTTGGTACAATAGAGCAAACATTCTGTTTCTGGACGCACCTCAGTGTTGGGGAGTAGGAGAGGAATACCTTTGGCGTGTATCATCACCAGAGTCCCCAAGAGGGGGCTGACCCTTTTAAGACTTTCAAACTGAAAGCTAAAGATGGGGAACCCTGTTCATAAAAAGAGTGAAATCAGTGAATTACCTTCAACTTAGGAAGAGAGTGATTTACAGATCTCAGCTCATTGGTTCAAAAAGCTGAGGGCTGCATAACGTCTGAGCCTGGCTCTGAAAGCAGCCCTTCTGAGATGGACTGGGGGCTAGGGCAAGTGCTGCCTTAGATACCTGTTCCTTTATGTAAGCACCTATGGAGGCATCTCCCTATCAGCCAGTCTGCCTTTTTATTATTATACAGGATTTATATAGCGCCAACAGTTTGCGCAGCGCTTTACAATATAAGGAAGACATTACAATCACAATACAATTCAAGACAAGATGGTAAGGAGGGCCCCGCCCCTGAGGGCTTACAATCTAAAAGTTTACTGTTGAGGGCTCAGAACCCACACAGCTCTTAGCTCTGGATGATGATCTGAGGCCTACACATCACTGACCTGCCCATTCTCTGTGGGAAGAACTTGACTCTTTCATGGAAACCTTGTTATATGAAAAGATGGGGCAGCCCAGTGGCTGAGTGGTTAGCACTTATGCCTTGCACCACTGGGGTCCGTGGTTTTCTAATGCACTTCTGCATGGAGTTTGCATGTTTTCCCTGTGCTTGCGTGGGTTTCCTCCCGGTGCTCTGATTTCCTCCCACACTCCGAAGACATGCTGGAAGGTTAATTGGCTCCTGTCTAAACTGGCCCTGTATGTGCATGTGAGATGGGAACTGTAGAATGTGCTCTGCTTTGGGGTGCCTTAAATTACTGAAGAACAACCAAATCTTAATTAAGCGTTTATTCTACAAATAGGGAGATACGTGCATTCTAATTACTATTAAGGTAAATGGAGAGGGTCAGTAGGGATAGGAATTGAGGTTAGGATCCTTCAGCTAGCATCCTCATCTTTCCCTCCCTCTCTCTCTCTCTCTCTTTCCCTCCCTCTCTCTTGCCCTCCCTCTCTCTCTTTCTCTCTCTCTCTCTCTCGCTCTCTCTCGCTCTCTCTCTCTCTCGCTCTCGCTCTCTCTCTCGCTCTCGCTCTCTCTCTCGCTCTCGCTCTCTCTCTCGCTCTCGCTCTCTCTCTCGCTCTCGCTCTCTCTCTCGCTCTCGCTCTCTCTCTCGCTCTCGCTCTCTCTCTCGCTCTCGCTCTCTCTCTCGCTCTCGCTCTCTCTCTCGCTCTCGCTCTCTCTCTCGCTCTCGCTCTCTCTCTCGCTCTCGCTCTCTCTCTCGCTCTCGCTCTCTCTCTCGCTCTCGCTCTCTCTCTCGCTCTCGCTCTCTCTCTCGCTCTCGCTCTCTCTCTCGCTCTCGCTCTCTCTCTCGCTCTCGCTCTCTCTCTCGCTCTCGCTCTCTCTCTCGCTCTCGCTCTCTCTCTCGCTCTCGCTCTCTCTCTCGCTCTCGCTCTCTCTCTCGCTCTCGCTCTCTCTCTCGCTCTCGCTCTCTCTCTCGCTCTCGCTCTCTCTCTCGCTCTCGCTCTCTCTCTCGCTCTCGCTCTCTCTCTCGCTCTCGCTCTCTCTCTCGCTCTCGCTCTCTCTCTCGCTCTCGCTCTCTCTCTCGCTCTCGCTCTCTCTCTCGCTCTCGCTCTCTCTCTCGCTCTCGCTCTCTCTCTCGCTCTCGCTCTCTCTCTCGCTCTCGCTCTCTCTCTCGCTCTCGCTCTCTCTCTCGCTCTCGCTCTCTCTCTCGCTCTCGCTCTCTCTCTCGCTCTCGCTCTCTCTCTCGCTCTCGCTCTCTCTCTCGCTCTCGCTCTCTCTCTCGCTCTCGCTCTCTCTCTCGCTCTCGCTCTCTCTCTCGCTCTCGCTCTCTCTCTCGCTCTCGCTCTCTCTCTCGCTCTCGCTCTCTCTCTCGCTCTCGCTCTCTCTCTCGCTCTCGCTCTCTCTCTCGCTCTCGCTCTCTCTCTCGCTCTCGCTCTCTCTCTCGCTCTCGCTCTCTCTCTCGCTCTCGCTCTCTCTCTCGCTCTCGCTCTCTCTCTCGCTCTCGCTCTCTCTCTCGCTCTCGCTCTCTCTCTCGCTCTCGCTCTCTCTCTCGCTCTCGCTCTCTCTCTCGCTCTCGCTCTCTCTCTCGCTCTCGCTCTCTCTCTCGCTCTCGCTCTCTCTCTCGCTCTCGCTCTCTCTCTCGCTCTCGCTCTCTCTCTCGCTCTCGCTCTCTCTCTCGCTCTCGCTCTCTCTCTCGCTCTCGCTCTCTCTCTCGCTCTCTCTCTCTTTCCCTCCCTCTCTCGCTCTCTTTTCCTCCCTCTCTCTTTCCCTCGCTCTCTCTCTCTTTCCCTCCCTCTCTCTCTCTTTCCCTCTTTCCCTCCCTCTCTTTCTCTCTCTTTCCCTCCCTCTCTCTCTCTCTCTTTCCCTCCCTCTCTTTCTCTCTCTTTCCAATTCACACATGCTATGGCCTTTTCTCTGTGCTCAGAACACTCCTCTCCAGCAGGTCTCAGCGAATCGCATTCCTGATTGTAGAGTCCAGTCTTGTCCAGGAGGTCACAAAGGTCCCCATTGTTCCTGCTTGGGTGCTAGGTTTGTGCATTGTTCACATAGGAAGAAGGTTCCATTTAATGTGTCAGCAATGCAGCATACATGCTGGGATAGAGGCAAACACAGGTGTGGGCAGTAAATACCAGCAGGGGGATCTCAGGCAGATCTTCCCTTCTCCAAACGTTCTGTGTTATTTAATGGCCTCATCACAAAGTCCCAAGATGATTGATCCCTCAGGAGGCAGGGCACACCGTTGCATCAAAGCTGTAACATAGATGCCAATTTTATCGGCTCCAACTGGGACCTTTTAGATTGTACGCTCTTTGAGGGCAGGGACTGATGTGTGTGAAGTGCTGTGTACACTGATGCCTAAAATAAAGATTTGGATTTGTCCAGCGTTTCATTGTGCCGCAATGTTTGTTATGTAAAGAATAGAGGTAACGTCACTGTTTTGTTCCGTCTCCGTCAGATTTAGACTCTTCTACAGAGGATCCCATATCTCCGAAGAGGAAAATGAGGAGACGCTCCAGCTGCAGCTCCGAGCCCAACACCCCAAAGAGCGCCAAGTGTGAAGGAGACATCTTTACCTTTGATCGGACAGGTACGACTCCCTTCTGTTCCTCAGGCTGTCCGCTATCTGGGTGGCCGTTCTACCTTGTTCTCCATTATGGTTTCACAGATTGTAACCCGTGTATCATCTTTCCTCCCACAGGCAGCGAGGCAGAAGACATGCTGGCAGAGCTGGAGTATGAGAAGGTCCCATACTCGTCCTTACGTCGGACTTTGGATCAGCGGCGGGCTCTGGTCATGCAGCTTTTCCAGGAGCATGGCTTCTTCCCATCTTGTAAGTGCACATGTATGGGAAGGCAGCCTAGTTCTGCTAATCAATAGCAGTAGCTTTATTAAAGTGCGCCTTGAGCAAAATGTATTTTTTTTTTTATAGGTTTTGGATAGAGTCAGGAAAGGTTAGAAGTAGGGATGCACCGATACCCATACTAGTATTGGTGCCGATGCCAAGTATTTGGGCAAGTACTCGTACTCGCACATATGCTCCGATGCCTTGCCCGATACTTCCTGTATCAGGAAGTCAGGCAGCACGTCATTACACGCTGCCCGGCTTCCACTCCCTCATCACCTCATGATGAGGAAGCATGGAGTCGGCTTCCCGGCCAATCAGGGAGCCGGGTGCCGCATCATTACACGGTTCCAGGCTTCCTGATTGGACAGAAAGCCGGCTCCATGCTTTCTCGTCACCTAGTGCTAATCGGGAAGCCGGGTGGCGAGTCATTACATGCCCCCTGGCTTCCTGAATGGGACTTCCGGTACTCTGTATTCGGTATCGGCAAGTACCGGAAAAAAAAAATATCGGTACTCGATTAGTTAGAACTGTGCCCCATTAACCTTCATTCCCATTCCGAAAACACCACACGCAGGGAGAGAAAGTCTCTAGCCAAATTAGGCAAAAATCACTATATGTCATCACTGGAACATTCTGGATAACTGGTGTCCCCGTTGGAAGATTTTCCCTTCTCTCCTGTTCTGGGGACATTGTTGAATTTCTGTACTTGTAGGAAATGTTCTTAGCCTGCAAAAAGAAAACTAATGCAGCCACCACAGCTAAGGACTGGTAAGCTGCAGGATTCGGCTTTGTTGTTCTTGGGTTTAGATATCCTTTAAAGGGACCTTTTACCCCCTTTTCACTAAAAATGACCTCAGTATGCAGCTCTGCATGGTAATAGGAAATCATTTTACATTCTTTTAGTTAAACATGTTTTTCTTTTACTTACAATTATTGTTTTTTCACTTCCTGGTCCTATTGGGCATTAGTGATGTCATGTGCCCAAGTGTTGCATCCTGGAAAGGTTACATCAGCAGAGCATTGCTGGGAAATCTCACCTGTAATCTCACAAGATCTCCGGGAAAGGCATTTTCCTCCCCTGAGATGATGTGCATGGTCACATGTCCTGGTCACATGTCCTAGTCACATGTGCCAGAGTTCCAGGAAGTAAAGGGAGATGGATTAATCAGCCCTTAGTAAAAATTGCCGCTGTGAAAAGAATGGAGAGGGAAAGAATACAAAGCCGGCAATGATCTAGAAGTATGTGTTTGTAGATTGTCATTACTAAACATTTCTGGAGGTGCCTTTGTTGTCCTCTCAATGATGGGGGTAAATAAAGTATATCCTGACCAATCATATTTTAAAGGAATTTACTATAAAAAAAATCATATAATCTAACACATAAAAGTTCTTAACTATTTTGTGCAGATTAGTGATCTGAAATCCCAGGTCAATCCATTTTAGGTTCCATGTTGTAGCACTTTAAATGTGACCCCATGCAGGGGGGTGAATACTTATGCAGTCGTATGATTTGTATTGCACATATGTTGATTCTTAGTATAGTACATTTGTATCTGAGTGACAAATCCAGGAAACCATTTCCAAGGCTTTGATAGGTATCTGATGTACATGTTACAGGCTGACTCTTCCTTTTGTGCTCCCTTCTTTTTAGCCCAGGCCACCGCCGCCTTCCAGTCTCGCTACTCGGACATCTTTCCCACAAAGGTTTGTCTCCAGCTGAAAATCCGGGAGGTGCGACAGAAGATCATGCAGGCCGCCACGCCGACAGAACTTCACTCTTTCACCGAGCACTCTTCCCCCAGCACCTCCGACACCTCAGCACCTTCCGAAATGCAGCCCCCCCAGGATCACACGCTGCGGCCCGGCGAGCCCCCCGACGCAGCTTGGGAGTCAGGCCAGGAACCTCCTGACCCCTCCGGTGCCAGATGAGTGGAGAAAGTCGGGGAGCCCCCTTTTTGTGCATAGGCACCCAGTGAACTCCTGAGGGCGGAGGGACAACCTCAATCGAGGAATACCCAGGGGCCGACAATGGATCACTTACTCCCCTACCTGCAACCAGACTTTTGCCCCTCTTGCACAGACAATCCACCCATTCCTTGGCAGAATGTACTCTGGATGGGCAGCGCCGCCACCCCCTTGTGGGCAGAGACGTCCAGATGTTGGCAGTGTGATAGTAATCCACACTGGATTAAACACTGCAGTTCTGGGGTCTGGCTGCAAGTAGAAATGGCTCATGGACTTTTTTTTTTTTTTTTTTTTTTTAAAAACGGGGGGGCTGGGA